AACTTAAACAGTCACGTCACGTCAACGTTTCTCGTCGAATGAGAATCTCTGAAACGTATTAACCATAAAACAGGGCTACATTCAAATAAGTATATCAGCGCAACTAAGAGAAATGTACCACAGCCGTTTATTACCCCGCTGCTTTAGCCCATATGCCCCCGTCTTTTCCTTCACCCTCCTTATCACTGCTCACTGATTGTAGGAATATTTTTTATCTCCCTGTTCATCGCTCTCTTGCAGCTTTCTCTCATTTCCTTTTGTCCCTGTGAGAGGCAACAATGAATTTTCCTCTTCACTAGGGCCTCCCCCCCCCCACACACACACATAAACAGACACACACACATACACAGATCAAAGTCAGGAATGTGAGGCCTGCTGCTATTATGTGCCATTATATGGGGCCATGTTTATCCCCCAATACAGACGGAGCAGACGTGTAGATAGAGGCCATGCTCTCCCTCTGCCTCTTTTTTCTGCTCTTTTCTTCCGTCATCATTAAAAGTTAAACTGAAGTGCGCTTTACATTCAGAGACACCAGAGCTTTACGGATCAGGAGCTATGTGCTAACTCCTGGACGCCTGGTCCATTCTGGTTGCTTCTGTTCTGTGTCAACCTCAGTCATTGCCTCGGACTACACGGAGTTCCTCTTTCCTCTGTGAAGAAAGACTTTCCTTTCTCCTTAAATCATGCTCGTCTCCCTGTGGACCTTAAGTTTCTTTCAAACACCGTTCAGAGACGATTCTCTCCTTGTCTGTTGTATTACAGTAAGATCTGCCTCATACTCAGAGAGTAGTCATTCCCAACAGTAGTTCAGCATCACCCCCCGCCCCTCCTCTTTTTTATTGTGGCGTTCCCCCATGATGACACATTCACAGCTGTTCCGTCAACACCTCCTTGGACTATCCATTCTACAAAACTACTGCTGTCAATGAACGACAGACATGCAACTGGGTAATTGCTGCAATCAAAAAAAAAAAAAAGAAAATATAATGAATTCATTTTGTTGCCCCTCCTCACAGTTGCACTGGACCCCTGCCCCCCAAAAATTCCAGAAGCGACCCAATTCCAAAGAATATATTCCAAAGAATATCATGAAAAACCATCATGACAACCAGATATTTAAATTAAATTTGAATTTTCTGCATTTCTACGGCAGTTCCATCTATTTTAATTTAATGGAGTTTTTTTCTTTTGTATTATTGTATTTGTTGTGTTTATTTCTGCCACAGATGAATGGTAGGACACTGTAAATTTTATCTCCTCAGGACTTATTTTTAAAGCCTTGTTTTTTTCTGTGATTTTTTTTTCACTCTTTTCTAGTTCCTTTTTTTGTTGATACTCACTCTTGGACTTGAGTACATCATATCCAGTTAATGATCCCACTGCGTTATGCTGGAAGTGTGACACCTCGCATGTACACACGCTGTAAGATTCATCATTTGTGGCGGTTAAAAGGCATCCTTCTCACTGACGTGCCAGGCTCTTATCGTCTTGTTTTTCCACTGCCAGCCCTCCATATCACCAGCTGTAGTCATCCTGTGTCTGTCAGAGCCCACCAGGCCTGCCTGGCACAGATAACTGTGGCATCAGAGGAGATCAGCAGGTTAGAGGAGGTGTACAGCTCCATACGGAGATAAAAAAAAAAAAAAGAAGCTGGTTGTCTCCAGGAAAGGAAAGGAAATTCAAGACACTGTGATATGTTAAGTTAAAATATTCAATTCCCATCAGTGATTACGTGAAGTGAGTGAAATCCAGTGGCATATGGCAGAAGTATAGAACTCTGTATAGATGGAGGGTTTTGTTGTGAAGAACCAAATGGTTTTTGGAACTCAGTTTTACTCATTAACTATGTTAAATTTCTCCTTTTGTTTTAAAATTGTATCTTTTCTAATTATATTTTGCTCCAGGGAGAGAAAAAAAGGCAGCTGTATTTAATAGGTATTAGTAAGCAGAGGAGCAACTTTAAAATACCACAACACGGTAACAATTATAGATGATGAGAAAAACACCCTAAATTATATTTAAGAACAGTTTTAGACGCAGCAGAAAAGAGAGACAGCCTCGTGTTTCTCTCTCTCTCTCTCTCTCTCTCTCTCTCTCTCTCTCTCTCCTGTAATTTCTTCCTCCGCTTCATTTCCCTCTGGCTTTCATTCCTCATTATTTTCTAGTCATGCACATTCTGCTTGGCTTTCCCTCTCTTTCCTCATTACTCCTCTGAGTTTGTACGGAACGCCGTAAATCGTCCATTTTTCTGGATCTCTTTATCTTGATTTAAACTGATCTGAAGTAGACGTCCAACAGTAAACACATTGTTTACCAACAGAGTTGACAGATGCCCAATAGTTGCAAAGAAACACCACACCTGTGCATCAATGGTTAAAGAACGTTTGTGAATATTTGAGGTAAATAAGAATTAGTCAACGCTCCCAGGTGCAAAATAAAGTGCTGTTTTAAAATCTATACTACATTGTTTAGAAATGAAATTTGAAAATAAAAAAACAAATACATAAACTCCATGTTCACGATATTTTCTGTAAAATTATATTTCGTTAAATAGGAATAAATAATAATAAATATCTAATTGTTGTACTTCTTTGAATGAAAACAACGGGGGAAAAACATCAAGTTATTGTTAATTAGATTATGATTGTTCTGTTCTGGTCCGCTTGACATCTAATTTGGTTCTATGCGGTATTTATTTTAGAAATAAGGGGATTATTTATTATTTATCTTGATTAATCATGATTAATTCACAGTTAACCTGTGATTAATGAGATTAAAAAAGTTTTACTGTAGTTAAAAATAATATTTATTAATGACTTCCATGTGAATTTACCTACAATGAACCCAAATCCATTTATTCAGCCCATAAACTGTACGTACCACCGATCAGTCTGTGGACTAACGTCTAGTTCAGGTAATTCATCACCTGGTGTTTTTCTCCACCTCATTTATTTTCCCACTTTCTCACCTTTCAAACTTCAGCTTCCTCCTTTTCTTCAGGGATGTTTGCGCTGCATATTAGCGACACATTTCCACAGCGAGAAGAGAAAGGGTTGATTGACACAAGGTTATAAATGGAAACAAAGGCATGTGGGGAAAAAAAGGTGTTGTTAGTGCTAGAAGTGAGACTGAATGTATTAATAGACAATGTGTGATAAGGTATGTGATTTGCACGGTTGAGCAGTTACAGCTGAGATGAATACTTTTTGGAAAAGTACATTTTACTTCCTAGAATGTGCTGACCAAGACTTTTAGACAGTAGAAGATTTGAAAGAAAGATTTTGATTATCGTTGTCAAATAGTGATCATGTAGTTCCTCCTTCTTCCCTCCAGGTGGTGTTTGCAATACTGTACAATTACTCTGGGTAGTCAGTTGACTATTTTAGTAATTTGTTATTGTGTTATAGATTTAAAACAATAACAACATGCCGGCTAACTGAAATTTTTATTACATTTTTTTGCTTTGTATTATGACAAAACACGTGTGTGTGTGTGTGTGTGTCTGAAGTGTTGTTTGGATGCAAGCCATCCACGAATGAAATGTTTCCTTTGTTTGCAGACCCATTATCTGGATAATAACTCTCCATATTTCCTCTCATCTTCTGTGCTTTATCAGTGCTTGACTAGTGTGAACACACACACACACACACCAACTTTCTTTGGCTCTCTCTCTCTCTCTCTCTCTCTCTTTCTCCCCCCTTTCCCCCCTCTCTTAGTGGGGACTTATAAAGACCTATATTTACATATATCTGAAAAAGTAAGGTAAAGATAAGGGGCGGGGCAGGAATTATGTCTCCATGAATAGTTCACCAAACATATTAAAGCAGTGTGTGTGTGTGTGTGTGTGTGTGTGTGTGTTCACATTGATATAACTTCACAACCAGTCATTGTGTGCTGTTCTCCTGTCACCGTGGGCTGATAGCAACAGTCAACAAAAAAAAAGAAAAGTAAAAAAGGAGCGCATTCACCCCCCCCCCCCCCCCGACTGCTCGGTGCCTTTCATTTGCTGCTGAGATGACTTTGGCTCACGTCCAATCAATCTTTTATCCTGAATCAAAATTGTTGCCTACTGTACCTTCACAAATTACAAAATGGTGACAAAGAAAATGCTGCGTCCCTGCACATCTGCTTGTTTCTGACGGCGGATAAGACTGGGATCTAACGTCAGGTGTGGGTGATTAGATGAGGGCTTTTCTTTTTAAACCAGTAGGGGGAGCTGCACTTTAAAAATCTCTGAGGGTTTCTCTCATACCTTCTGTCTTTTAAAAGTGTTAGTTTCCACGATGTGCTGCGTAGATGTCTTTTCTGCAGGTGGTATGACGTAATGATCGGGTCAGTAACGCTGTAATCATGTCTGTACAACATCCAGCAGTGATGCTAACACTGCCTTTCAACTGAGCTCCTGTAACACAGAATCAACTGACAAACATTTTCTGAGATTTTTTTTAAAAACATAATTTTGTGCTGTGGTAATAACTGCCTTCCAGTTGATGCCGGGGCAGAATTTAAAGAATTTAACACACGTGGAGTCCTCAGTGTGCCAGAATTATGAACCATTTATTTAATCATATCTCGCCTTCAGCAAATCCCACGCGGTGCACAGTACTGTAGTACATGTACAATGTACAATGGGACCATAAATAATCATTGTAATGTATTAAAGGCCAAAAAAGATCATTGCTAATGCAATGCTAAAACTGGAAGGAAACAACGGTTTAGATCCATCTCAGTTTTGTTGTTGTTTGTGAAGTCAGTAGGCATCATTCAGACATAAGAGACCTGATGTTTTAAACTTCCTTTGGTTTGTTACTGTGGAGCATATGCTTAACTTTTTACACATTTTAAGTGTAAAAGATATTTTGACTGTATTTTTCTTACTCTCTGACGACGCTTTGTGCTTGAAGATGCAGCACTTCTCAATCACTGTTCAACATTTGATTCTTCATTTATAACAGCAGAGAGTTTTTCTAAATACCATTCACTGTGTTTTCCTGTAGATCCTGGTCAACTCAGTGCGTCCCAACCGTCCAGCTCTGCTGTATGAGAAGGTGACGGTCAGCGAGGGAGGAAGTCCTTTACTTCGGGACATGCTCTTCAGCCCTGACCAGCAACACATCTACACGCTGACTGAAAAACAGGTGAGTTTGCTGTTGAGGATTTTTTTTAAATGCTGAAACACTGACATCTAAACATTTTGGAGCATGTGTATTTTTCCAAGTAACCATTAGGGGCACCATAACAAGTCATATCGACACAAATGCTGCGTGTCTTTGATCAGTGTGTGTGTCTCTAATGATGGGTGCTGTGAAGCCGCCATTATCCGTCGTATCCTCACCGTCGAAGGTATCACAGGTGACCGCGTGGGGCTAACAGTGTCTCGTTAGTGCACATGACAGAGTGCGCGGCCACAGACGCACGATATCTGGGACTTACAATACTTTTTGTACTTTCCGAGGAAACGTGTTGTTATTTTCCGGAGGGGCAGTGAGGAGGATAACGACTAACAGCTAAACAGCCAATCATGATAGGTGCCCCCCCACAGACCCCCTGCAGGTAGAAGTGTGTGTTTGGTGTGTCTGTGGTCATTACTAGCTCCACCACTGTTGATATCTGTGTCTACTTTGATGGTAGGGAAGGAGATGGGGGGGAGGGGAGAGAAGGTGTCGCATCTATGATGCTCCCCAGGCCCCAGCTGCTCCTCTCGTTTTTCTGTCTCATTAGTGCAGTGAATGAAGGAAGCGACTATGTAGGGAAGCGGCGGGGGGAGCGAGCGGGTCGTGTATGATGTGAATATGTCTGTATTTAATAAATCTAAAATTAGGCTTTGGGAAGAAGACCAAGTGATTTGTTCGGCAGAGTGTGTAAAGTGGCAGCAATTAAAGTGCTAATCTGTCGCTAACTTTTGGTTTTCTAAATAAACTACAGTCTATTTTTGCAGCTCTTTTAGGTTAGTGATGATTTTTTTTCCCCCTGGTGTGCCAAAAGAGATGCCAGAGTACTCCAACAAAACAGTTATATTGTTCTCTTTCATTCTTGATTATGCTGTTGTTTGTGATTAGATGCAAAATTTTTCTGCAAGAATGTAAAATACATGACCCCTGTGTTTAAAAGGTCTCTCTGTGTACCTCGCATGAATGAATACATGTGGAGGTCAAAATTTGATGGTGCTACACAGAGATGATACATGTTGTGATAAAACATGAGCCCAAAATGTCAAAGAAAAAAAAAAACAGAATAAATGTGAAAAATTATTCTTGCATAAATCCAGTTTGTCAACTACAGTCTGACAGGCACTCATTGCCTGGTCCTTATCTGTTTAAAGAGAACCAGCCCAAAGGGCATCTTTGACTGAGAGATCAACTTTGGTCGTCTGATGTAAGGTTTACATTTGGGAAACAGCTGACAACACTAGTCTCTCACCCCCTGCTGTGCCTGCCCTTGTCATAATAAAGGTAAAATACCTACCACCCCCAGAGGAATAGCATACTGACTTACTCCCACCTTTATTTTTTTTACCTCATTCTCACCTGTCTCCAGGTCCTACAACCTGATATCCATGACTTTGTTGCAATGTTTTCGCTTGAAAAAGAAGCTTTTCTGCAAATACTTAGTATCTAAAGGGTTGTGTGATTTTGTAAATCTGGAGTTACGAAAACTGTTGACAGCCATTAAATGGCGGTGTTTGCTGTAGCCTAATAAAAGAGTCTGTTGGCAGACATGACTTCAGTTACAGGTAGGAGTTCAGTTATTGTAGAGAAGGCTGTCTCTGCCAAGGCTTGTGTTACTGCTCTTGTATGGACAATGTTTCTGGCAGATTTTTGGAGGTAGAGATTTCAGGATACAAAAGTGAACCGTTGAGAGCGTCAGTATCAAATTATGTGCAGACAGGTTGAGCGAGCGACAAAAAAACACTTGAGTTCGGAGTCATCTGAATCACTTTAGGTTTGAATAAGCAACACAAAGATATGAAAATGTTCTCTATTGTTGGGACACTTTTGAACACTGTTCCTTAAAACAAGTGACATCTGAAACACGTGGTGACATTTCAGGGTGTAATACAGTGGGAGACGAGACACAATAATATCAATTTTTTCAAAACTTTTTTCCCAGTATGATGTGGCGTTGCTGTATTTTAGCACGATTTCATAGAATAAATTATTGCGATAATCTTCAACATTCAGTTGACTGTCTTATGAGTTCTCAGTTGGACTGAATGCCTTGCCCTTGTCTGCCTGACTGTTATAAATGCCTACGTGTCTATGCCTAAGTATGTGGTCGTAGCAGTGCATGTGTCAGGCTGTGTTATCATAGGGTCAGTCTTTATAAAATTCTGCCGTGTTTGAGGTCTGTGGGTGAGCAACGTCAACATTCTTGGTCCACGTCTGCTTCCAGTCTAAGTCTGTGTGTTAAAGGCTTTCCTGATGATTTGACATGTTCACATAGAAAGTGATTCTATGCAGTCACTGTGGCCCAACAATTTTGCAAAGTTGTTTGTCTTTTTTGAGTCCAACGGGAGGTGAAGTCCCAGTCCTGGACATAACGATACTGTTATTCAGTGACTCAACAAAATGATCTCATGATTCTGAGTTGACGGTGATGCAGGTTTATGGTCACATCAGCTCTATCGCCCGGGGGGTTATAATCAATGTCTAAAATACATGTAGTTCATATTCTCTGCAATACATACGGTTCACTCATTTGGAGTGGTTTGTCTGCTCCACCTTATCTTGGCAGTGGAGGCAGCCAAGGTTGTGCAAGACACACATACACACACACAGATGTACAATTGAACTTACAGGGAGTAGTTCACTGGTACAAGAACATCACTCATACACGTATTTACAGACGAGGACAGTCCGTCTGCTCTCACATCATCTCGTGTCCTTTTGTTCAGAACTCCCTTTATATACCCCCCCCCCCAGCTCTCTCTATCTCTCTTTCTCTCTCTCACACACACATACATACCTATGACTAAGTTTGATCCCACATTAAAAGTGGCCAAGTTAAGCAGAGCCAGGGCCTTAAGATTGCAAGACCTCACACGAAAACCCCCTTTTCTCGCACTAATGACTGGAGGGGGCAATTCCACTCTCCTGCTTTCTGCCATAGACTCATTTTTATCCTCTGCCCTCCATCTATTTTCCCGTGCCCCTTCCATCCCTTCTTTCAAAAATCTCTGCATTGGCTGCATCTCACACACATGCACACACACACATCCGTGTTTTCATCTAAGCCCAAATTGAGTCTTTGCTTCTCAACTGGCTTCTGCTGATCCCATTCCCATGTTTTAATGATGTCTGGCTATCACTATCAGCGACCCCCCCCCCCCCCCAGCCCCGCTGGATCAAGAGCTGTATAGAGGAAAGACAGGAAGGAAGGAATGATGGGGGGGGGTTGTTCAAATTTCAGAAACACACACGCCTACACCTTCGACTACACACACGTATACACACATGAACTTAATTCTACTGGAAGGTTGGAGAGGCGGACTGAGGGAGTCACTGAGTGAATGGCTGGATTCCGCCTGAAAGCTCATTGGTTGATAAACCCGTGTGCATGTGTGTGGTAGTGTGTGTCAATGGAGTGGGAAGGGATGCTGGTTGGCCGCGGGACGTTCCTCTGGCAAGGCGAGCACATTAAGGTGTCAGTGGACATATCCACTGATGCGTAGTCTCCTCCTCCCCCAACACACACACACGAGTCAGAGTGAGAGGTGAGGCCCGCTGATTTATGACTCGCTGCGTCCCGGCTAAATTCATCACTGTCATTATTATCAATGGAGAATATGACAGCAGGAGAGAGCGTCCTGCTGTGTGTGTGTGTGTTTTAGCCCTGTACTTGTGTGTCAGTGTGTCACTGAGCAGTGTGTGTTATTGCAGACAACATGGAATCGTTCTGGTTTATGTTTCCTGTTGTGGCACAGGATCAGGCACAAAGGTAGAAAGTTTGCACCAGGTGCACTGAGAAAGTCTTTGAGAGTTGAGGATCAGGTTACTAATCACCAAACCATGAACAAAATGTTTTCCCCTTGAGTTTTGTTTTTCCCACTCGGGTACTAACTCAGGAGAGTAAAACTTTGATTTGTGTGTTTTTATATTTCTGAATCTCCAGATGAGAAAACTTTCTGTAGTTAAACTTTTCACATAAAACTTGGCAAATCTGTCACTCCCCCCACACTAAACATTTTTATTTATTTTTTACCTTTCCCGCATAAACTGAGAAAATTAGTGTTTTGGCTCAGTCCAGACACTGCGATATCAAATCATCCCCTCCTCTTTTACTGTAGTCTCTAAGTTCAGATGGAATTTGAAGCCACAGCTGCCATTCTTGCCGCCTTTGTGATTGTGCCCAACCTTATTGTCACACACACACACACACACACACACTGATTCTTACATCTTTGATGGCAGTCATGCATACGATATTGGTTTGGTGTGCAGTGCTGGTTAATTGCTAAAAGCATGAATATTCATCGGCTGTGTGTGGAGAAGAGGGGCTGTGTGTGGAGAAGAGGGGCTGTGTGTGGAGAAGAGGGGCTGTGTGTGGAGCGGGTTTGATCATTGTGAAGACAGAAGGACTTGGGTGGCTTGATGCAGTGGTGGGAAATGATGTATTATGTGTATGCATGAGGCAACCTCTGTTCGAGTGGAAAGGTTGTGTGTGCTTCCGTGTGTTGGTTGCATGAAAATGATAAATGGTTTTTGCATGTTGATTTTATCAACCCCTCCCCCCCTTTACATGTCTTAATAGAAGTCTGTTTCATAACACACTAAGAAGACAAATATAAAGGAAGGAAGGAGTGGAAGAGACGACCATATTTGCAGCCATAAAACTCCACTTTAACACGCTGCAAAAAAGTAAAAAAATAAAAAGATACATTCTGTGCCATGATGTCTCAGTAGCTCTAGCTCTGTGAGTATAGAGTTTGATTCCCACCAACTTGAATCCAGCTTCCAAGCTCAGATGAAGTAGGGTTGTGTCTTCTTACTCATGTACGCTGCTAGCTACGGTGTCCCACTTTGTCCTGTACTTTTTCCGTCTCAGCAACTAAAATCTCACGCGCAGGAATTCGACTGACATCAGTCCTCTGTGTGCGTGCCGGTGCATTTGTGTGTCGATCTGTTTACATTCACATATT